ATATATATGATAATGCAATTAAAGAGCATAAAGAAGAAAGATCAATGAAAAGTATAAGAGTTGTTAAAGTTAAAAAACAACAATTACATTCAATGAGTGATTATTTAAAAGCTCTTAAAATGATTACTAATATTAGTTCATTATCACAATATTTTGAAAATAATATAATTCCAGTTATAGCAGATTGGCCAGGACAATTATTTATTAGAAAAATAATTACTAGCATAAATTAAATTCAAGTTTAATTTCAGATAATATTAAAAATTTTATTCCAATTTTAGGTTCACTTCATGTTTCTTTAAATTTTCATCAAACATTATTTTTTGTTCATTATTCTTTTTTTGAACAATTTTTTCATTTTGTTTTTGGTGAAAAAAAGAAATTAGCTAAAAAACCAAGACCATAGAGAATAAATTTAATATTAGAGTTAGTATATGAAGGCTGGAAAGCTATAGCTCATATAATTTTAGCTAAATTTGATATTATATGTAAAGATATAGAATATCGAATACTTTTAGATATTTTAGATAATTTAATACCTTCAACATTAGATATTTATGCAATACTTTTTAGATCAGGTTCATTTAATCAATATATTGAAACTATATTTAGATTATAGACATTTGCACTAAGATGGAAAAGAAAAAATTATAACAAAGCACCATTAGTATTTTTATCTGATTATTTTTATTAGAGTGATATTAATCATCCATTTGCTAAAGTATTATTTAATTTTTTAGTAAATTTTAATGATTATTTTGTAGAAAATATGTATAGTCATCTTTGAGCTAATATTAATTCACATAGTACTATTAAAGAAATTAAACAACAAGCATATATATTAGATTATTATCGTAGCAAATTTCAACTTGATATTTTTAAATCAACAAAATCTTATATATATAATTCTAAACAATTAGATTATTTAACAAAAAGAAGTAGTTTATTTTTGTTAAAACATTTTCAAAAAGTTTATTTAAATCTTAATAATAGTAAAAAAATACAAAATCAATCTAAATATTATATAGCAGGATTAAATGAAGATGTAGAAGCTAAATGTCTACCAACAGGATATCTTACATCAAAAAAACTAACAAAAAATACATATGACAAATGTAACAAATTATTTAGTAAATTAAATGGAAAAGTATATATTTATGGACATGCTTATCATATAGATTGTTATGAAAAAATGCATTCAACATGTAATTATTGTTTACAATATTACAAAAAAGGAATTTTTTCAAAAATCAATTCTTTTATAAAAAGATTAGAAAAAAATGATAATGATAAATTAACTAAAGATGATTTAGATAAAGATTTAGAGCCAGAATTAGATAATAATTATATTAATAATGATGATAGTGATAATGATAGTGATAATGATGATAATAATAATAATGATAATATTACTATAGATAAAGATTTACAAGAAGCAATAGAATTTATTGAACAATTATAAAATCTAAATTATTTTTTATTTTTAAATATAAATAAATATATTTTTTACATTATTAAATAATATATAATAAACTATATATCATACTACTAATAGTAACTAAAATAGCTTAAAATTGTTTATACTTTTCTATACCATAACAGAGTACAATGATATTAATTTTTATCAAATTAAATAATTTTATTATAAGCATTGAAAGCTAGTAATAAATTCAAAGTTTCATTATTTTAACTAATTGCACTAAAATAAATAATTGACTTCTCTAACCACTATGACATGCCACATTTTCCGAATATAAAAAATTTAAAATATTAGAGGATCTCAACTGGGTCAAGAAGTATATTACCTAAAAATAATTCAAAATTTTAATTTAGCTGATTAGACTTTTTTATAATTTACAAATACATTGTGACACTCGATACTCAATTTAACAGAAAATAACAATAATTCATATCTAACAAAGGCTTAGAATAAGCTATAATAATTCTACTTTACATAACTGATAAAGTCTCTATAAAGTGAATTCAGTCATGTTGAGTACCACTATATACTGTACATTAAAATACAAATTAAAGACTAATTAATACAAATGTATACTCACAATTGTTAATTCTGAATATTTTGGAAAATTCAAAAATTAATTGTAAAATTGTCTTAAATTTAAATAATACATTAGCTAAAAAATAAATACTTTAATTGTATTCAATATTTTTTGTGTGCTAATAATTTTACTAGTGTACATAGAATTCGGGTGTTTTGGTAATATAATTAGCAATTTTTCAATTATTTTGTCAGTATCTAAAAGTTGCTTTTTAATATCATCTGTTTCATTATCGTCATTATCATAACTATAATATGATTTTATTCCATCTGCGAAGTTCATCACAAACTTCATCAGAATAAGGCTGTTTTTGTAGATCTGAATC